CTTACGATTTGTAAGAGAGTTTATAATTTTCCGATTATAATGGCCTTTAGAGGAAAAAAAATCAATTTATTTAACAGTGCATTATTTATTGCCTGCGTATGATAAATGTAACCATAAAACAAAATACCAGACTATTACTCATGGTTACACATAGCTACAACTTCGAATTATAGAGGTAGTGATGGAGTGGAAGTTCGACTTATATAGGTGAACTTCGACTTGTAGAGGTCTGGCTACTTTAAATTCGAGTTACAGTAATAAAATATATATCTAAACGCCTGACAAATAATTCGAGTTAAGGTAGGTTTTATTTCGATTTATAGAGGTTTTCCGCAGCGGAGCGGAAGGGGACGAACAAAATTTTCGTCTTGCAGAGGTTCTCGAGTTGAGGTTCAAATTATCGAGGTTCCACTGTGTTTGTATATTTTTTGTGAATTTTATTCAAGTGTCTATCCGAACTTCCGCTATATGCCAACGTAATGAAATACGTAATTAATTATAATGTATTATTTCAAGTTTTCTTATTCATCCTATTCCTTTCTCTACATAAAGAAAAAAACCTCTCTTCTCTTATAGAAGAAAAGTATAACAACGATAAAATAGGTGACTATTCCATTATTGCTCTTTTTCTCTTTATGATTCATCTTTATTAAGTCCGTGCGACACGTCAGAGGAAAAAAAAAAGTAAAAATAACATAAAATAATCGTGTTTTATAATCTCCGGCCGGTAAGGATATTTAGGATTTTACGGAGAGATACCGCGCGCTGAGATCGATCTTCACCTCAATCTATGGTAGTGCAAGGTGACATGGCAAAGTGAAGTCCACTCCGATATATCGCGCGTAACGCGACTTCACGGCTCATCCGGCGGAAAGCCACGGAGCAGCGTGAGCCATTGAGCAAACTCGTGTCGAGATAATGTCCCGACAAGAGCGAAAAGGTCGAGGCACGAGAATAGCGAGCGAGAAAACTATTTGGTGTCGCGCGACGCGCGCGCTCCCGGGGAATTAACGTCGCGCGACCCGACGCAACAAGTTGCGAATGCAGCGAGACGCATTGCGCGTTCTTCTCCCTTCTGACGACGGATTATCGGGTAAATCGCACGACAAACAACCGACGGAAGTCCTTGGAGGCTTAACAGGAGAATTAATATATAAAGCGAGATCGCTCTCGATTAGATTTTTGAAGCAGAGACCATAAGACCGATTATAAAACGCGCAATTCCCTCTATCGCACTTTTTTCATAAAGAAGTTTTCCGTAAAAATTAAATTGAGTAAGCCAATGAACGGTCATAGCAGGATCTCGGTGCTTCTAATATTTCTGCGTGATTTTACATATTCTTACACGGAGAGAATTTTCTTTTAAAATTTACTCTGAAAATCATGTTAATTTACCCTGTAAATCATGTTAATTATGAGACAATATAGTATTTAGGCAAATTTTACTGTGCACTACAATAGGATTTCGCAGTAAAATTTACTGTAGTGCACAGTAAAATTTGCCTAAATACGATATTGTCCCATAATTAACATGATTTGCAGGGTAAATTTAAAGAAAATTCTCTCCGTGTATAGTTTATTAGTTTCAAAGAACTGCGTGCCGTTACTTTCGGATTCAACGCAGCTCTTTGCTCGAGACAGAACTGTATTATCACGATTATTAAATTGATAATCAATTTAATAAAAATACTGATGCTCACCGGCATCTAATAAATCCCTCCTCCTACCCTACGACGCGATATAAAGAATTATTTGCTGCAAAAAATATTATTGTCAGCCAGGATAATATTTTTCGCAGCAAATAATTCTTTATATCGCGTCGTGGGGTAGGGGGGATTTATTAGATACCGGCGAGCATCAGTTAGGCTGCATTTTCCAATATTCATTGCCTGTACTGAAAATCTACAGCGCAACGTATATTATAGATTTTCAGTACTTGCAGTGAATATCGGAAATCGCAGCCGTATTAAATTGATTATTCATTTAATAATCTTGATAATACAGTTCTGTTTCAAGCAAAGAGCTGTGTTTAAACCGAAAGTAACGGCACGCAGTTCGTTGAAACTAGAATATACGGAGTGTCCCGAAATTCGCGAATCAAAATATCATAGCAAGAAAGTCTTTGAAAAATTGAGCTAAGTAAAAAAAGTTATTTGTAAATTTTTATTTTAAGCAATAGTTTTTCAGATATAAGAGATTAAATTTAGCCAATTATATATTACGATTAAACAGAAACATGTCCGAGCGCGTTGATAGTGGTCGCGTACTTCACGCGAGTACTAATCTATAATTGACTAAATTTAAACCCTTATATCTCAAAAAAACTATATATTGCTTAAAATAAAAACTTACAAATAACTTTTTTACTTAATTTTTCGAAGACTTTCTTGCTATGATATTTTGATTCGCGAATTTCGGGACACCCTGTATATGTATGTAAAATCACACAGAAATATTAGAAGCGTCAAGATCCTGCTATGACCGTGTGGCCTTTTCTCAATTCAATTTGTGCTACACAAATATAGACGATCGTAATATATATAAATTGTTTTCCATAAAAAATCCTGGCTTTTCTTGGCAATTTTCAATTTGATGGCGCAGCCGCTATTTCCCATCGGAAATTAAAAGCAGTTGTAGCACTTAAGTGAATTTTACTAAACTCCATGTACCACTTATTGTCTTAAGAAGAAATAGCGGTCATATATAAAAATTATTTCGATCTTTTGTAGTCATAATCAGTTAATTTAACGTTTACAGTTAATAACTTTCAATTAACGTTTAATATAGTCTATAGTTGATAATAACGATTTAACGTTGAATAATAAATTGATTTATCTTTATTGATATTTTTTTAGAAACTAATCGCAATCTTTTGTAATCTTAAGAAATACTAACACTAATAAATAACAAATTTGACAAGTGACTCGTATTATAAGCAGAGTAATATCGCGTGCACTTTGTCACTCAATTACGTCCGTTTTTAACATGACGGGCATGTTTCGACAAAATTAATTACGTGCCAATGCCGCGTGTAAAGTTGAATGAAATTCAATCTCTACGTATATAATGCGGAATTGTCGAAATTGACAAATAAACAGGCTGTCGTGTGTAGCACCAGTTTGCCGTGTCATTTGAAATTATAATGATCGGCAAGGTGAATACGCGCCTGTTGCACGCGCTTGTTGAAAATTAAAGCGTACCAGTGCACTTTGCAATGTCCAATTTAATTACTAACCTTAACAATTTACTTTTAACGTACCCGCAGTAAAAAAAAAAGTTATTTACATAACGCCGAAAAAATGGAATACATTTATTTATTATTTATTATGTATGATTTCCTTTCGACCGTACGCCAAGCTATTAATTTGGCATTTAGTAAAATTTTGTATTTTAAAAACCTTTTTTTTGCTCGATGTTTACACAAATTGCTCGTAATGGCATAACATTTATGTGAGAGTTGCCATATCTGCTGTACTGCCAATCTCTCTGCAGTTCAGCTTTAGCTATTTATTTTGCAATATTGTACATCGTTGCACATTGTTGCTCGCGAGAAAAGCAAAAATTTTGTATTTTCGCTCAGTCGTTTTGCTGTATGCATGCACCGAATTTTTGTCAAACAAAATGGAAAGATTATTATGCGTAGATTGCATTTTGGCAAAATCCATCTACACGCCAAAATGTAACAAGTAACGTTTCATGCCAAATTTCATGCGTTGAAACAAAATTTTTTTTTTCTATATATATTTACATAATAAAAACTTTATTGTCTCTAAAATACCGATTACACTCAAAATTTCCAACTGCGACATTTTTTTAACCCTTAATTCTTTTTGAAACAACTTACAATGAGGACACGAGATGCTAGCAACAAGTAAAGACACAAGTTCAGTAATATATGAATAGTCCGATAAGAAATTACCAAATTTTACTATTGTATTATATAATCTAATATTATCATAGAAATTCGATGGAAGATTGTAAAAGTTAATCCATGTGTCTGTCAGGAGAGCAGTCAGTTTCATAAGGTGAAACGTAACACAATACGTCACAAATTGAAGACATTAAACGCGACAGCGCATCCATTAAGTATGTACGTTTATGACGTAAGTCTCTTCCGCTAAATCACATTTCCTAGAAGTTAATTATATTTAAAAAAAATAAAATCTTTTTTCTCAGCCGTCATTGAAAAAAGTAATCTTGCAATTATAGCGATAAATTATTTAGGTATGAAAAATTAGCTAAAACGGATAAGTGATTAGTAAGCGCACTGCGATACCACATATGTTTTGTATTTAATCAATATAGATAACAGAGACAGAAATTATATCTGGACTATTTGTCAAATTTAGCAAGAAAGTTTCTCTGTGACGTTTAATTAGTTCAGACTCCAATCATATTTGGTTATGAGACTTATATTTTCTTGCACATATTCTTAGAACATTGCTGCTATAAATTCTACGTATGACAGACAATTTTTTAGCAGATACAAAAAACAGCAATATAATTTAAGTGCAATACTTAGAATTCTAGCTGGAACAGCGAAACATTTCCCTGAATGGTTATAAAATCAACTAAAGCACAGATTCGTATCTTTACAAATTTCACATATACATATAGTATTGTATATAGATACTGATATATTTGCGGTCAACTAAAGGATTACTTTACGGTGAAATGGGGAGTTTTCACTCCAAATCCAAGTGTGTAAATCTGAAGTCACTTTATACGCGTGTTATATTTTACACATTTTATCTGTGTTTTACACAGTTAAATCGACGTATTTTTACACGCTTAAATTTTACAATAATATGTGCAAGCGTGTAAAAATTACGCATTTAACTGTGTAAAGCACAGATAAAATGTGTAAAAATATAACACGCGTATAAATGCGTAAAAAGTGACTACAGATTTACACACTTGGATTTGCAGTGTTGGAAGGAAGAAAATTTATAATTATAAACTTACGAGCGTGACACGTGAATAAAGGGGTGTTGCTTTACCTGAACGGGTCCGGCCACCACGTAAGCGGCCACGCCGATGAAAACGATCGCGATCGATGAACCGGGGAGCGTCATTGCGCCTCTGCGTCTAGTCGACGGACGGTGCGTGGTGATCAACGGATGCCGAGGACTCGTTCTTTACGGCGGAAACTGATCGACCGCGACTTGTTTCCCTCAGACTTGTGTGATGCACACGTCGTGGAAAAACGCGTGGAGTGCCCCGAGTCTCGTGCTCCCATCAAATATATAGAGGGCTGCGCGCTCTCCCCCTGTTTAGGAAGGGGGTGCAAACGTTGCGCAGACGCGGCGTGCCGCAGATCTCCGTCGGTGATTAGACACATTTTTCCTCTCGGGACACGAAATTGGACGCACACATCGACACCCTCGGTCGGCTTCTGCGAACGTCAAAAGCGAGATTAAAATTAATTATATAAGCAAACGAGTTTAGATTGCCGCGAGAATGTATGCATGATCAATTTTAATAATTTGTTCGCGACAATGAAAATATGATAATTGAGAAACGATGGGGCAAGTCTTTTTCATCATTTACAGCAATCTTAATCGGGTTGTGTGAAATAAATTATGCAACTATTTATTTTAACACATGTAGCAAATTTTCGTCATATATATATTTTTATAATTCATCTTCTAGAATGTAAAGATTAAATGGCAGTAATTTGATAAAATAGCGAATTTGGTATTTTTCTCTTTTTATGAAACTTTGATATCTTTTACTATCGACGAAGTTGTAATACTTCGATGAGGTATGTCAGCAAATAAAGATTTCTTTATCACGCCACTGTCCCGATAATCTGAATGCTACACATTTTTACAGTCTAAATGGGATAAATGAGTGAATGTTTAATCCATCAAATCGGATGTCTTTTGTAACCTTTAGCAATATTTGTCGAATAAAGAGTAAGTACTTTTCGATAGCGCATCAATTAACGCCAAAGCTCCGACAGTTGCATCAAAATGACGCTGCGACGAGACTAGAAGGGAGATTAATATTGAGAGATAAGCGCAAGATATATACAGGTTAATATCACTTCAAGTAATATCACTTAAAAGCGAGACGATCAGGCTGCGTCTTCGATAAGCAGCTGGGATCTACTGGTCTTTACTCTCTACTTCAAGGAGTAGGACAAGATTTTTAATAACACTCGAGCAGAATTTTTCAGTGTATTTTTTTCAATAGATCACGTCGACAGGAGATTTATATCCTGAAACGATCGTTCTCGCTTTCTAACGGTACGTTAACTTGAATTGCATTTAATTAGATACTTCACACACATATAGACATGTAACAAAAATAGCTGGATTCTTTAGGAATTTTTTGTTGATAAAAATATTTTTAATATTATTTGTGCATGATTTTGCTTGACATATGATGTATAACATAATAAAACAACATATTAGTTCTTTCTTTTTCTCTCTTTTCTCTATGAAAATTATAAATCTAAAATTAGAACCCTTACAAATTTTGCATAACTTTTAAATTAAATCTCAAATCTTGCTTATGCGACTTTGAATAAAAAAATAAAATCTAATTAAAATTAAAAAATTGAAATTAAAACGTTTTACAATCAATTTTTATATTTTTATTTATTTTAAAGCTTAAAATTGCCAAAATTCTTTAATAATACTCTTAACACATATTTTTCTTATTAGTAGCTTTTTATTTGCAGTTTTATCAGTGCTTAAATAAAAAATGTATAATTGACGTATGCTAAAATAATTCTAACATTCGCTATATGTATACGTATAAAATGTTTGTTTAAGAATCATTATGCATTAAAGAGGAGAAGAAGTAAACATTATAAATTTTTTTCAAACTGGCATGTGACCAATTTTGGGAAAGAGATTGTGACATCGTGATGGTTCGTCATTGCAGCACGATGCAATCTAATCGGATCCTGTGCTTGTGCACATTAACGCGAAAACCGCGAGCTGCGAGTAGGGACAAGGGGAGGCGACTGTCCGCGATCGATTTGCACTCTCGTACCTGGCGCAGAAAATAATTCTTGGCCCTGAAAATTGCGAGCGACTATATGCATCATTTATCATTTATATTCGTGTATAAACAAGACGGAAATGACGCAAAGCAAACAAGGAAATATGAAACAAAATTGAAATATGGAAGTCAAGCGCCTCCGGCACAAAAATAATGTACTAAAATGACAGGATGATGTAAGGGAAAGGGGGGGCAAATAGTGTTACTTTAAATTTCTCCTCTTTCCCGCGTCTATTTTACCACTACTTGTTAATAGAAAGACAGTTCTCAAGCATCTAATCATCTTTTAAAAAAGCCGTAAAAATCAAAAGCCAAATACAGCTAGCGGAGAAATTTAAAATTTTTGCATTTGTGAAATAAGGTAAAATCTGAATCTTTCTTTGATATTTAAAGTTATATTTTCTTAATTGCTGAATCGTTGAATGAGATTTAACCTATTCTATGTCATACGGTACCATTTTCCTCTATTTTGATATAATTTTTATGCTTGTATATTGATTTTATTTCTCTCAGTAAAGTTTTAAAGGAAAAAGTAGCTCCTGGGGCAAATAATGACAATTTTTAGTTGGGTAAATAATGACAAATCAAAAAGCTTTTTTAATATTTGAATATAATTTTTCTAATTTATTTGGAATAATGTGAAATTAGTTACAAGGCAAGATCCAGAATAAATGTGATTTTCAATAAGAAATACTAGCAAATAATGTTACTACTATTATTTATCAATAAATAAAAATGTACACACGGCAGACACAGAAATTAATATAAATTATCTTATTTAATTAAAATGTCAACAGAAAGATCGATTAAGAATTAAGAATTAATTATGTATTTTGTAAATTGTCCCATAGAGTAGGGCAAATGTAGGTTTTAGTTTTTATGAAAATCTAGCCCGTATACATATGGAAACTCTAATTAAGTTCTTTGTATATTTGAAAGTGGAAAGTAGGGAAGAGTTGCCAAATGCGTAGCGGTCAAAGCGTACTTCTTCAATATTTTATGGTTCCACTTAACCCATTAACGTCCAAGCGGACACACTTTTTGAACAATTTTCAGTGGCTTAATTTTTTATTTTAATGGCCTTAAAAAAATTTAAGCAACATCATTTCTGATGTAAAATTTTTTGCTCTTTTAGAATCTGTCATCAGAATTTGTCAAAAATAAAGTCCAAAAAAGTTATAATCAATTTTTTGTAAAAAAAACCGTAATTTTTCACTCAAATTTTTTTTAAATCGATATTTTCACATCGAAACAACATTAGGATGGTCTTGAGCAGTCAAAATATCGCGTCCACGAACTCTAAACTTTAAAACGAATACATACTCCACCAAGGGACAAGCCCCATAATGTTTAAAAGTCGATAGAATTAAGGAGCTCCAACATATACGGGTTTAAAGAAAAAGGAAAGTTCAAAAACGCGAGAAAATCTCGATTTAGCACCTTTTTTTCAAAAAATCATATCTCTTTTGTTTATAGACCGATGTAAAAAATCCTTGAAAATTCTGGAAAGGTATATTTGAAATAATAACAAAAACATTTGGCGATCCGATGTTTTAATTTTTTAACAAAATTGCAAGCAGTCCCGGGGACCCCAGTGTGTATATCTAGGGTTAAGTGGTACGCATTTGGCAACTCTCCCCTACCCTTTTAGTGAAAAATTATAGGTATCTTGTAAACTTAAAATTAGCTTGTAGGGAAGAGAGGAAAAAATCCGTCATTATTTATCCCCTCCCCTTCCCTTTGCGAAAGGTAATGCACACTGAAGAAGATGCGCACGAGAAAATATATTTATTTTCTTCTTTGCAAAAGTATTTAACCTTTAAACCACTATGTCGGTCTCACAGACCGCTATTGAAACGTTACTTGTCAACCATTTTCTTATTTGTCACCATTTAAATATATTGTATTTCTATTGTATATACGAGATTTTTTTGTTAACTCTCACATTAAAACATTCTCTTTTTCCCCATCACAAATATTCAGAAAACATACATTTTTATTATACATAACTTATAAAATTAGCGAGAGCATAATAGCGGTCTATCAGACCGACATTGTGGTTAGTGTAATTTTCTGGAATGCGGTGGTTTTAAAGGTTAATTCAAATTTTCAGAATTGTTTCAGATTGTTTGCACAGGAAAATTCAAAGCTAAATTATATCGCTTTCAATAACTTCATAAATGCATACACCTACTCGCAGAAAAACATTAAAATATGGCAATACAGTTAAGCCTGTTCATTTTAGCTAACTTTCTTGCACGGTTCAGCTTTCCTCTTTTTCCCTCCACGTTGGAGAGAAAAAAAAGAGAAAAGGTGAACGATGCAAGAAGTTCAAATAAAAAGAACAGGCCTATTGAATCCGAGCTTCAATCATACGAAATGTCGAGGGTGAAACTCATGAAATATACAAGGCGTAACGTTGCGCGTTATATATATATCTGATATTCACGGATATATGCGACGGATATATTCTCTAAAGGAATGCCTCTTGCCCTCAACATCGTTTTAGCCGTGACCAAGTGGAATCGATCATTTGGCATTAAATCAATTATAGCCTAAATTAAATAAAATATCTAATTTTCGCGTGTGCTATTGTTAGCGCGCGGCAGCGACGGCGTTTCAGATTGTAGAACCCTTCACGAGTCTTCTGCGATTTAATATATAATATCACGCGCACGACGAGGCGCGCTAATCGAGAGGCATTGGAAAGCATTCCCGCGCTGCTGCAGGTTACGCAATCTGACGCACGTCGCAATTCGGCTTGCATGACTTCGAAACGCGCGTTACGTAATTTCATCGTGCGCGATGCGAATCTCGCGCGCGAGCAGTAATGAGAAGAGGACCCGTGTGTTTTCATTATCCCACTATGTGTGTACTCTGTGTGCGTATATATATGTATACTCTGTGTATATTACCGCGGGGTAGCAACAACATTTTCGCGTATCGCCCGCTCGGTTAACTCATACTAATGTCACCCCCGAGAGAGCGATCTCCGCGAATCCCGACGTTCCGTCGTTAAAACTTATGACGAGCTCGTTAAAAACAGAGAATTCGATTTTCTCGCACTGATACTGATGACGCTGTGTGACGTAACTTTTTGTCGACCGTTTGTCTAAATATCAACGCAACGCACTTGTTCGTCAACGATAATTATTGAGCACACGAATTAAATGTATAAATTTTTCGCAAATTTTCGTTGTAATTGTCTAGTCTTAGAAATTGCATCAGTTGAAATTTTTTAAACATTCTGTATATGATGATTTATTGATGATGAAGACGGACGATGAGGAGAATGAAAAAAGAATTTAGATAAATGAATGTATAACAGATAATTTTTTGTTAATCGTTGTTACTCTTTTACAAGTTGGGGATGAAGAGAGAACTGTTGTAACTTTATAGGTAACTGAAAGAAAAATATATCATTTGGATTAAGATACAATTATTTTTACGTTTCTAGTAATACCTGAAAAAGAATATCTGAAAATACAAATCTGAGATAGAATTTATTTTTTTAAGGTAATTTGTTAATCGCTTGTAAGCAATATAAAATTCTATCTAAAAAAGTGTATAGTGTAAAGTCGATTACTCGCATTTCTCAAAATTTATTGTTGTCGCTTTTTCGTGATGCCGATTGGTTGTCTCGCTGTGCTTACTTCGTGTAAGCGGCTGTCATTGCATTTTGACAGTTGTGTGTATTGAGGTTGATGTGTAATTATAAATTATAGTAAAAAGAGGTAAATAGCGCGCGCAAAGCGCGCGTCTGTATTGCTAACAGTAATTAAAATAGTAATTAAACAATTAAACATACGAAATTTTTGTACCGTTTACATGTGTTTTTACAATTTATATTATAAATAACAATGAATGTATGAAGGCAACGGGAATCAGCGTGGTTAATAATACGCAGTTTAATATTAAAAGAGTTTTACTCTTACATATATTTCAGACGTTTTCAGATATTTTCGACTCATATTCTTAGCCATCTTCAGTGAATATAAAATAAATCAAAATCTCTCGCTTAAATCGTGAAAATGTTTGATTTATTTTATATTCACTAAAGATGGCTAAAAATATGAGCCGAAACGTCTGAAATATATGTGAGAATAAAAATTCTTTGTTTTAATATTAAGGGGGTATTTTAGTCTAGCGGATCGGAAAAATCGATTTTTTTTTACATATTTCGCAAGTATTTGATATGGAAAATATGCCTGCAAAAGGATTTAGCCCGATTCGCAAAATTAACAAAGTTATAGGCCGGTACTCGTAATCGATTCTTATATTTGAGATTGTCTTAAGTATAGTCTTAAGATGTTACAAGCCAATAATAGAGCCGTATTAGTATCTTAAGACATTACTTAAAACGGCTTTGAAATAAAAACCGACTTATGAATACCATAGTCCTTAATAGAGAGTGGTCTCAATCTATGTAATCAGTACAAAAAACTTTAAACGCTTTTCTTGAAACCACGTTTTTCAAATTGGTACCCATAATATCTCGAAAACCAATTGACCCATCAATTTGAGCTTGTGCACACATCTTCAGCATATGCGTGGCTATAACTCCTACCTCGATCAAGTCAAAATATGTTT